TCACTCATTTCCAACCTCCATCACTGTATGTATCAGACGTTAGAATAACATAAGGACTTGGAGGTCCAACCTCCTGCTCAAGCAGGAGACCCTGTACCAAGTTCTTTCTTAAAAGCCTCCAGTGATGGAGCACCCACAACTTCTGAAGGCAACTCTTCCACTTGTTCTGACCATCAGGAAATTTCTCCTTAGTTCTAGGTTGCTTCTCTCCTTGATTACTTTCCATCCATTGCTTCTTGTCCTGCCCTCAGGTGCTTTGGAGAATAGCTTGAGTCCCTCTTCTTTGTGGTAGCCCCTCAAATATTGGAACACTGCTATCAGTGTTCAAGGTTGACTCATCCTTCCATCTTTCCGAGGTGGGTAAAATGAGGACCCAGATTGTTGGGGGCAAGAGGCTGACTCTGTAAACTGCTTAGAGAGGGCTGTAAAAGCACTATGAAGCGGTATATATGTCTAAGTGCTATTGCAACTGCACATCAAAATAGAACCTGTAGGTTGTTGTGAGAACGAATTTCCCAGAATTTGGCATTAAAAACAACGCCCTTTAAGCATTCTGTCACCTGGGATTGAAATCTCCTTGAACGGGAACAAATCTTTGGCCAGATCAGCGTTGTTAAACAGTTTTTTCCCACTAATTAAAAGAAAATGTACCTTGCAAACAGATGTTCCCATTGTGCTCAAACGTCCTCTCTTCCATCTTGGGAGCCTTGTCTTAAAAACGTGGAACAAAAAGAGGAGAAAGAGAACAGATTTCAGTTTCCTAAAAAGCAGGGTTTGGCTTGGCAACATGTCAGAAATCATCAAGCTCTTTTTCATATGAGGAATTTCAACAAAGGCCCAGCGGTGAATTTTTGGGTGCTTCTGAAAAGCAGAGGATGCCCAATTTCCAACGCCTTCTCTCTTTTTTTTTTAATTTTCCAAAATCTCTCCCTGGTTTAATTTAGCTGATGTTCTAGACTCCCCCCCCGTCCTTGTAAATCAGAAATTTTAGCCTTATACGGCACATTTATGCCCTGCCAATTTCCGTTTTCAGTGGATCCTGGACTTCTGAATCTTGCTTTGAATGCTTTTCCCCCCTTGAGATTTGAAGGGAAAAGCGAGGGAAATTATTTTGCTCCGCCAAGGAAGGCAAATTTTACTCGATTTTACTTCATCTTCATGGACATCCTCAACTGAAAATTCTGCACTGGGCAGGAGGCCTGATGGAATGATATTGAAATTGTTTACAAATGCTAGGACAGTTAGTAATTTTTTTTTTGAGTGGGGAGCGGAAATGCGTGGGAAACTGTCAGCCAAAATGGAAGAAGGGGTCAAGCACAGAATTAGCCTTGAGTCTTTGTGCACCCACAAGAGACATCAACCTCCCCCAGATCCATGAAATTTGCTTGTTCCCAAGAGAAGGCAATAACAATAGCAATAGCACTTAGACTTATATACCGCTTTACATTGCTTTACAACCCTCTCTAAGCAGTTTACAGAGTCAGCCTCTTGCCCCCAACAATCTGGGTCCTCGTTTTACCCACCTCGGAAGGATGGAGGGCTGAGTGACCTTGAGTTAGTCAGGATCGAACTGATGGCAGCCAGCAGAGTTAACCTGCAATACTGCATTCTAACACAGGGAAGGAAGGAAGGAAGGAAGGACACTATCAATAGCACTTCAATATACTTCTTAACAGTGTTTCACAGTCAACCTTGAGCCTGCTGAAATTCGAACTGCCGAATTGCAGGCAGCAGAAGTAGCTTGCAGTACTGCACTCTCACCACTGCGCCACTGTGCAGCACGGGAAGATTCTTGTAATATAAGTGGAAATCAATAAAGTTGTAGACTTAGGCTATATATGTATGGCTCGGTTTGCCTGTGGCTGACACCCCCAACAGTTACATCTGCATCAAAAAGGGGGCAGAAATCTTTTGACACCCTCTGTCCCATAACAATAGCAATAGCAGTTAGACTTATATACCACTTCATAGGGCTTTCAGCCCTCTCTAAGCAGTTCACACAGTCAGCATATCGCCCCCACAGTCTGGGTCCTCATTTCACCCACCTCGGAAGGATGGAAGGCTGAGTCAACCTTGAGCCGGTGAGATTTGAACCGCTGAACTGCAGATAGCAGTCAGCTGGTTGCAGTACTGCACCCTAACCACTGCGCCACCTCGGCTCTAACAAAGAGGATGCTGCTTACCCAGCAACCCATTCAGTGAGGATAAAAATCCATCTGTTGCTTTCAGCTGTACGTGAAGTACCGTATTTTTCGGAGTATAAGACGCACCAAGATTTTGAAAAGACAAATTTAAAAAAAAAGTTTTTTGCACTCTGCAGACCTCCCAAAAATGGCCCATTTTTTTTTGGTCAAAAAAGGGGTATGAATAGCCTTTAGGAGGCTTATAGAGTGCTCCTGGGGGCCGAGGGGGGCAAAAACGAGTAAAAAACCGGCCCATTTTTTTGCTCATTTTTGCCCTCCCCAGCCCCCAGGAGCACTATGGAAGCCTCCTAAAGGCTCTGCATAGCCATTTTTGCAAAGTGGGGGGGAGGGTTTCAGGAGGCCAAAAATGCTGTATTCAGTGTATAAGAAGCACCCAGATTTCTAGCCTCTTTTTTTGAGGGAAAAAGGTGCATCTTATACTCCGAAAAAATACAGTAGCCTTGCCAACATCCGAAATATCTCCCGTCGACGCAGAGCCACGTAGGGGAATCCATTAGGCTGAATTCCTCCTTGCTCAGCTTCTCCTCCTCCTCTGAGCAAAGGGTGATAGATCAGCATTTATTTGAATTTATTAGCATGATTATTTAAAGGTTAATGAAGTGTTTGATAGGGTAATTCAACCTGCTGTTTCCTTGGACATCTAGGGAAACTGCAGCCAATGAAGCATTTAGATTGGGGGCTCTGGGCTCTGAGCAAGTTCTTGGCAGCCAGCTGCCCTTTACGGTGTGCGGCGTGCGGCATGACATTGAACCCATGTGGTAGAGTTTTCCTCGGGTCATCCCAGTCCAGGGCGTTGGCAATCACAGTGTCCCTCCCACCACCCCATTTTCCCTTCTCTGTCTCCTCCCAGGACAACACCTTCTGTTCCCAGCAGTAGCTCTGTGGGTCACCGTAGGGCTGTCGATTTGCCTTGTGGTCCTTCTGATGGTCCTGGCGTACGTCTGCCAGAAGAAGATCCGTCAGAGTTGCAAAGAGGAGAAAGCGAAAGCCGGTAAGAAAGCAACCAAGTTTTAGAGAGCATCAGTACCCTAAAGCCATCATTGTCCTCCCCTCCCTCTCCCTGCAAACCACACTCCTTTCTACCAATTGTTTTGTACGACGACAATAAAGGCTACATATCTTTCTAGTACTGATAGTGCCTAGTTTGAGTAAGGACACATCCGCAAGAAAACCACCAAACTCAGAGGGCAGCCAGGGGACTCCCCATTTCAACCTCGAGCTACATATCTTCCCCTTTATCGAAATCAGAAGTGGTGAGAATTTTGATTTCGATAAAGGCATGAGAATTCCTCGGCATTCTCACCACTTTTACTCTCCTCTTAAGGCAGCTGTCAACTTTTACACCGATGTAGAAAAGGAAGTCCTGCACTGCCCCCTGCTGGCCCGTTGTAAAACCTCCCCCATTTCATGAGCTACATATCTTCCCCTTTATCGAAATCAGAAGTGGTGAGAATTTTGATTTCGATAAAGGCATGAGAATTCCTCGGCATTCTGCCCGTATCCCAGGGATAGAATAGTGCAGGTTTTACAACAGGCCAGCAGGGGGCAGTGCAGGACTTCCTTTTCTACATCCGTGTAAAAGTTGACAGTTGCCTTAAGAGGAGAGTAAAAAGCCAACGCTTTGCTTTGAAATACTGATAAGAGAGATGCTCGGACTCACTAAGATTCACGCTAGTGTTTTCACTCTGTTTGTTTGAAACCCTCCTCGGGGGCTCAATCCACTGATACTGTCTTCTTCTTTCTCCCCCCCCCCCACCGCACTGCATGGACAGCTTTGCAACCTCTGAAAAATATGGATGTCAAGGAAGGTAAGGAGAGTTGGGCTTTGCAGCAAATATCGATCCGGCGTCGTAGCTTCAGGTCCTTTCAAACCAAGGCGGGCGGGGCCATAACCCAGTGGCGCAGTGGTTAGGGTGCAGTACTGCAGGACACTTCAGCTGACTGTTATCTGCAGTTCGGCGGATCAAATCTCACCGGCTCAGGATTGACTCTGCCCTCCATCCTTCCGAGGTGGGTAAAATGAGGACCCGGATTGTTGGGGGCGATATGCTGACTCT